TAACAAAGAGCCAGCGACCAAGAAACCTAGAACTTGACCTTTTCCCGTCGTGCATATAATTATAGATCTATCTAATGCGCATGCGCTCGCATCATCAGCTGTTAAGTTCTTCGCGTTGGATGACCAATCAAGTTCAGGTAGCTATGACAACGCATTGGGCGTTTTGAAATTTGAAAGTCCCCCAAGCGAAATCTAACGCCCAGAGTCAAATCGCTTCGAGCAAAACTGGAACGAGAAATCAGATCGGCCGCTCATCATGTCTTCCCCAGTGTTGGCCGATCGGTCCGCCACCTTATTCAAGACGCCGACGACAAGCAGCAGATGCAGCACCCAGGGCGGTGCCTGGACGGCCGACGGCAGAACTGCAACCACCACTCCGGCTCTCAACTCTGCCGCCTGCACTCCCCGGCGGCCGATCGCCGGCGAGTTCCGCACCCCGAGATCCAGGAGGAGGACACCGGGCGGGGATCGGTTCATCCCCAGTCGATCTGGCGCGGATCTCCAGTTTTCTGCCTATACCATCCGCTCGGCAAAGCGCAGAAGACTAGCAGACGGCGGCAGCGAAACCTGCAGAGCCGAGAACGGCAGCGGCATAGCCCGAACGCCGCTGGCGGCCGATCCCGACTCCGCGCGGAGGAGAGAGAAGCTATTCGCCCTGAGGGGACGCAGCTCGGAGAGCCGAGTTCTGAACATCAAACAGATCACTGCTTCTGCCGGCACCAACCACAACGGTAAGGCAACAACCTCTCAACTGAAGAACGTCACCTCGATGTTTTCCTGCAGATGCCTACTGGAAGGACTACAGTCTACCCACACCTAACTCTACCTCTGCAAGAAAAGCCGTGAGGAAATATCCCAAGACTGCAGACAAGATCTTGGATGCTCCCAACCTCATTGACGACTTCTGTAAGACCTTTGAGCCACACAGACCCTTTTCTCTTGGTTTCATCTCACCCCACACATCTTTTACCCCTCCCCTTTCCCCCTCACCCTCTTCTTTCTCTCTTGGTCAGATCTGAATGTGATGGACTGGAGCCAGAGAGGGACGCTGGCCATTGCACTGGGGAGTGCGGTCTACCTGCTGGATGCAGAGACAAGCGACAGCACCAGTCTCTGCAGTACGGGCAGCGAGAACAACTACGTCTCGTCTCTCCAGTGGAACAAGACTGGCCAGTATCTTGCTGTTGGAGACAGCAATGCCGACATTCAGGTAGTTACACTATTAGGTTGTTGTGTTACTTGCATTGCATTTGCCTTGATACCACGACACTACGAATTAGAAACACTCCCGTATCCAATAACTAACCCCTGTAATTTTTATTCCAAGCTATAGTTCCCCATCCAAATTTTAAGAGCTGTAGATTTTGCCTTTAACACGTACTGTATGTATACACTCCTGGGGCACACCAAACAGTGCACAGCAAAAATCAGGCTCCCATAGTATATTTACACATAATTATATGCTCCCTTTTTCCCTGTCTCAATAGCTCTGGGACGTCGATGCCAAGAAGCTCGTGCGGACCATGTGCACCCACAACTCTCGAGTCAACGCCCTGGCCTGGAATCCTCGCACCCACCTCCTCTCCTCCGCCTCCCAGTCAGGCAAAATTCACAACTACGACGTCCGCCAGCCCCAGTTCCACGTCGGTTCGGTCGACGGTCGGTCTCGGGACATCTGTGGTCTCCGGTGGTCTCCCAGTGGTCGATTCCTGGCCAGCGGAGGAGACGGTAACATGGTGTGTCTGTGGGACACTCACTCCAGGGATCCATGGACCTCCCCTGCACATGTACTCAGGGAGCACACTGCTGCAGTCAAAGTCAGTCTCTATTTCTATCTCTTTTTTTTTTTCACCCTGTATATATTATTCTTAATTAAACTACATCCGAATAAAGGGTGTCTCTGAATAAAGACACTTTAAATGTCCCAAAGGTGTCCCTTGTTCAGAGGTTTCACTGTAAGTAGAGGGAGTGATTCTCTTGTTCTCTGTGTCATCTCTCCTCCCCTGACTCCCAGGCTCTGAGTTGGTGTCCCTGGCAGCCAAACCTCCTGGCCAGTGGAGGAGGCTCCGCCGACCAGAACATCTGTCTCTGGAACGCCTGCACTGGACAGCTACTGGACAAGATACACACTGGCTCTCAGGTTCATATTATATAGACTATAAACCAACTCACTGCGATGCACCCCACTCTCTCTCCCCCTCTCCTCTCCCTTCTACAAACATGTCGGTCCCCACCCACACTAGGTCATTGGTCTGGTGTGGTCGTCCCAGCACAGAGAGCTCCTCTCCTCCCACGGCCACCCCCACAACGAGCTCCTCGTCTGGAGCTACCCGTCCCTCTCCCGTGCTGCCTCCTCCGTGGCCACCAGGGCAGGATCCTTCATCTTGCCCCGAGTCACGACGGAAACAGCGTAGCCAGCGCCGGTGCAGACGAAACCCTTCGTTTCTGGAAGTGTTTCGCGACAGCTCCTGGCTCCCAACCCACGACCAAGGGACCAGCGTCAGATAGGGGGAGGAGTCTACTGAGGCCTGAACCACTCGAAATGCCGGGCTACATACTGTAATGTATGTACCTCTCCCCACTCCAGACTTGGATCTATGTTTTATGTTTTGTCACAACGGAAAAGTGACTAAAATCGACTGCACCACTATGACCCCTACAGACAACTTCATCTCAATCCCCTTAATCCCAAAAGTGGAAATCTCCCCACATCATCTAATCTCTTCATAGTAAACTACTTGCGTATTGACTGTAGCCGACAGTACATACAAATTCAATAGCTGCCGCAATAGTAGCTTTACAGTAAGGCAACTCACAGGCTTTGCACTTCGCAGCTTGCAGACCTAAAACTGACTTGTAATTTTGAACACACTTTTGTCCTCAGAACAAATAGCTTAAAAGACAGCTATGTACAAGTATATAGCAGTCTCAAAATTTACTCTATATAGCAGCTGAGCTTGCTGTATGTAGAAGTTCTGAGCTTCCTGAAAAGATCTCTAGGAAACAGTTACACACTACCTCAACAGCAGAGCTTTAACGACAGCCCCAGCCTCCAACTTAGCTCTGCCCTCACTCCTAGCAGGCAGCTCCAGTAGGACATCGGCCGACCGCATGCTGAGCAAACGACTGCTGCACTGACTCCCCGTGGTGGACACCGAGGGAAGAAATTGGTCGTCAGAGGAGGGGCTCCAGTTGACGAGGGCTCTCTGGTACTCTGGTCTTTGATCGAGGGAGATAGAGTGCTCCAACTATGGGGTGAGTGTGTGTTTGTGTGTTTGTGTGCGTGTTTTGAAGGTTGGGAGAACTGTAAATTAAACAGAATATTTTCATGTAAGGTATATAGGAAACCTGTGTTTGCTTTTGAAAATGTGGTCTTCGTCAACAAAGCAGAAACCCTATAGAGATCCGTTTACACTTTACTTGAAGACTGCTACTTCAAATCCACCCATACTTTTACAGTAGCTTCACTATAGGGCATGCAAAGTGGTAAGCATAATTATATGCAAGCTTCCACATGAAATGCAGCCAATGAGGGTTCAGGGCATACAGAAAGCGTACAGTGGATGGTATTTCCACTCCCACCCTGTACTCCCTCCCTGTGCTGCTGACCTTGACAAAGATGGGTGAGAGGTGGGGGTGTCTCCAGCCAGCCATCTTCCTCAGAGCTGGCACCACAAACAGGTAGAAGCTTACCACTGAAGACACTGGGTTACCTGTAACACACAACACAGTATTTGCACCATTCACCTCCCACCATAAGGCACTACTAAAAAGGCTCCAAGGCACTCACCTGGAAGAGCAAACACTAGCTTTGTTTTTCCACCTCTGTTGACGGTAGCAAAGGTTGTTGGTTTCCTGCATCAGAGAGAGTGTGGTGTATATAGGTACAAATGAATTGCGTCTGTAAATTCATATGCAGCACACTTTATGTAAAATTTTGCGACCTCCAAACTCGTATGTGCAAACTGGTGCTTCGTAATTATGAGTACACACACGGCCTCTGGTAATTTCAGAGTGAGCAAAGTGAGCCTACCTACCTAGTAGTCTGTGCAATTTTTCTAACTATAATCGGGCGCGGTCCTGTCAATATGGTGATTGCTGTGATTCTTAATACGTGAAAATTTCACACTCATTTCACTCGGCAAATGTGTACAGTAACTATATACTAGTAAACCCTGGCTTCATGAGACTCATTCCAAAATGAATGGTGGCATTGAAATGTTCCTCCAACACTGGCCTCGCAAAGGTCCTGTAGTAAAAAACATACAATCACAACTAATTTATATTATTCAGACAGTACCCCCCCCACCCGATGAAACAGAGACAATTAAAAGAACTACTCTTCCTCCTACCAATGACCCACTACCCAACCCCCCCAAAACTATGAGAAACATCAACTCATAAGGGCCTACCTCAAGAAAAACCACTCAACCCAAAAGACCAACCGAACTAAATAGATAAAACAGAAAAAAACCCACACAAAAATACCAATACCAATGTAATGCCTGAGGACAAAATCGTTTTCTAAGCAAACAACGTTGAAGTGGCCGAATTAAACGGCAACCATTGCCACGCCCACTATAATAATAGCCCCCAACGTACAACCTTTGTAAGCACGACCCCCCGCATCAAAGCAACAAAACTATCCAACCAAATGTGGAACAGTAGGAAAAAAAAATGAGCTTCACAAAAACAACAACACAATAATAATTAACTTGGTTAAACATGTTGTAAAAAACCGGTTGTGCAGAGAAAACCAAAAAACAACCAACGTGTTTTTTTTTTTTCCCACATTTTTTGGGTGCTTAAATCTTACAAGCTTGTTCCTCCACCCCGACTCCCAAATCGAGGCAATGCCCCGAGATCCGAGGGGGCGGGATTCCCTTGTTTCCCCCCCTGGGTGGCCCCCCAAATGAGAAGTGGGTTTTTTCCCCTGTTTTTTTGCCTGTTTTTTCCCCGTTAAGAATCTTTGGCCCGGGTAAAAGCGCAGGCCCGCCGGGCCTTCCACCCAACCCCTTCATTCCCCTGTCGACAAGAAAGACGAACCCACTCTTTTGGGTCCCCCCTTCCGGTGGGGGGCCCCCCTTCCAAAACCTGCCCACAACCCAAAGTTTGGCACCCACACCATCCGTTCCCCTCTGCCTAGAGCCAACTTTTATTGGGAAACATGGAAGGGAAGGACTTCAAGTCTATTCCACACACCAACCTTTTTTATTCTTTTTAAAGCAGTCCCCACACTTTTTGGGCTTTTCCTTTTTTAACCTACCCTAACTTAGAAAAAACCTAGTAACCATTTTAAAGGAAATTGGGTTGGAGGGGTGAAGGAACATTTGGGTAAAAACAGTATAAATTATATTGGGGGTTTATGAAAGTTTTAGTGGGGTGGAGGACTTTTTTTTCCCAACCTGTTTTTTTTTTTTTTCCCCCTCGTGGAAAAACGGGAGCATTTAATAAATATACCCCTACTTCTTAAGTGGGGAATGCCCCGACAGCGGCCAGTTAGTTCCCCCGAGTTCAGCGCCCTTTGGCACCGAAGGCTGTTCCCCCCTCCCCGGCCTTTTGTGGCCAACCAACCTTTTCCCCTCCGCCACTTCCTTTTCCCTATCAATTCAACCCAACGGGCCTGCCAAATGCCAAACACAACACACCAGGTTTTCAGAGGGTTTTTAATACGGAGGAAAAAAGGGTAAAAATGGCCTGTACAACATACCTTCAACCTCAAACGTCATGCCCCTGTCCCCCTCACTGTAAAACAGAATCCCCTTTTTAAACTCTCCTTTCCCCTCCTTTTTCCTCCAGTCCCCCCCGATTATGGTGGTTAGAATAATGGGGAAATAATCCCTCAAGCACAAAAATTTTTTTCACAACGTTTTAGCCAAAATTTTTTGGAAAGTGGCCCCCTCGCTCTCCCGCACCCTGGTTTTTTTTTCCTCTTTCCCCTTTTCCTCTGTCTGTTTTGGCCTCACGAATAATCTTCCCAACTTTATTGTCTCCAAGGAAAAATTCCCGTGGGTCCCTTCCAACCCTGGCCCACCCCGCGTCAGCCCTCGGAGGAGGGGCCCGCTTCCTTCGTTGTATAAAAAAAAACGAAAACCCCACCCCCTCCCGAAAACGACAAAACCTCCACACCGGCCTGGGTCCGTTCACGAGGGATAGATCAAGAGAACAGAGTGTTTTCAACTGAGTCCCAGCCCCTTTGGGTTGTGAATTTTGCCCCCCTACCTTTTTCTCTCCAGCGGTCCCTGGAAAAAACCAGAACTGTTTTTCTCTACCTGCCCCGTCAGCAAAAAGCTTAATAATTCAACCAACCCACCCACCATCCCAAATCAACATACTTCTCAAATGCCCTCCCTTTACATGCAATCATTTCTGTAACAATAACCACATGTATGTCAACCACCAGCACCCTGGCTTCATTCTTTTTTTGGCCCCCCTTCCACATTTGAACAAGGAAGATCAATCCCCCCCCAAAAAGAATTCATGCAAAGAACAAATAACATTTTGTTTTTTTAAAGCGCTCCTGAAAGGGTTTACAAGGCTTAGGGTTGTTAAAAATAAAAAAAAAGAACATTTTTTTTTTTAAAAAGTGGCTAACTGGAAAGTGGTCCGGTTGCGCCACAAGAAGAAAAAAAATGAATGTCTTTGTATATACCTATTGACAGCGTTAAATCCATCTTTTCACAGAAGCCAGGGAAAAGGGTGGTGTGGGGGCCCCTTCGTGGGCCGACACCCCATTCTCAAGCTTATTTAACGGCTCCCAGGGCCCTCGCCAAAACAAGGAATAACATCACAACCACAGCAACATCCTACCTCACCTTCCCCCGCCAACTCAAACAATGAATTTGTTTTGATCCAACCTGCTTTCCTACTTTTTTCTATCTCCGGACCAGCGGTGTTAAAAATAGAATTGAAAACAACCCTGGGCTTTTTCTCATATCTTTCCCTGGTTTCAAAATGGCGTTGTTACTTAAACTCCTTTTGGTTTCCCAAGCCTCCCCCCACAACAAAATACAATCCTAAAGGAACAAGTTTTAATGTTCCGTTTTTTGGGGCCCACTAAAATACCTAATAAGCTGA